GGGCGGCCCGCCCGGGCCCTCCAGTGTGGGCCGTGCCGTTGGCCGCCGCGCGGTGCTGACCACCGGCCGCCGCCGAGACGCCGCTCGAGACGCCGCTTTTCGGGTGAGTCGCCTTCTGGGTCCTGCGGACCGCGCGTCGAACCCCCACGCGCTCGGGCTCCTCCGGGTGAGCGGCTGCCGTCGGGTCTTTTCGAAGGTATCGCCCGCCCCATGCTATCAGGTGTTCTGCTGTACCTGCCCGCGGGTAAGCGGCAGAATGCACTTTGTCATCGACGTACAGACTCACGCCACTCTCTAAACTAGCAGCAGCAAGGCGATCTGTAGGAATTATGTCTTGCCAGGAGTTCTATTATTACTTAACCGTAATTCCCCCAAATTTTTCCATATCTGGTTGCCATATCAGTTATTTTATCAAATACTGTACATTTACCTACCGCAAATGCATATTTGGCGGTAATATATTGTATATTTATAGAAAGTAAGAATCAAAACTATTCATTTTTAAATATCTCGTGATTTAGTAATAACATTTTCTTTCAAAAACAATGACTCACTTCTACTTTGAGATTTTCGCCAAACTGTTGTTTATAAAATTATTAATGGTCGGTTTATAACTGATTGGTTAGCTGGATTAAGGATAACACGAACATACACAAACAATCATACCCGGGGAATTCGAACCCGCGACCATTCGAGCCGAGATAGCCACGGCTTTTCAGCCTCAGCGACTTTGGCTACCCAAGTTGGTTTTCTATTGGCAACATTGTTTTTGACTTTAGAAAATATTTAATATTCGTTAATTATTTTCAAGCTCTATTGTTTTACTTATTTCTATTTATAATTCATTCGCTAACTACAAATGTGCACAATAACGTTCCATATTTTATTTCTTTTCATTTATACAAGTGTTTATTACTGATGTTATAACCAATCTTCATTACTCTTTTATATGTTTGGTATAAATGTTTGAAATGCTGATGTGAGCACTCATTTATGTCAACATAAAGAGTAAAGTATTCTGTTTTTGCTATGATTTTTACTAGACAACTGTCATCATTGGCCTTGTATTGTAATACATTTATGATTCATGGCCATTACAAAATTTTGTACATTGCTTTTGCACGGGCATGCAGGAGGATGTTTTAATTAATGTAAATTAAAAGAAGTACAAATTTCATAATTAAATTTG